AATGCCACATGGCCACCAATTCATGTGTTTTGCAGTCGAAGCAGGAGTTGGAGAATGGATCCGAAGCACCTCCAAAGGTAGCCAAGATGGCTACAGCCAAGATGGCTACAAGGTAGGTATGTAGAAGACGTTGCATAATACTTTTTGTTCTCAAAAGTAGATCCGAAGCATACAGTAGCTCAGCTTTAATTGAGTGATTTGGCGTGGGTGCCGCGTGCTCTACAGTTGGGAATCTGACGAAAGTACATAGTACGTAGAAGATGAAAAAGGTATGATCAACGAAACTAATTTGAGTGCAGAGGAGACAGGCCAGGGCCATCGATCAGGGTAGAATCAAATTGAAAGATGATTCACGAAGCTCAGTTGAGGGTGGAGCAAACAGGTCAGGGGCCCCAGCTAGAGTAGTGCTGGAAAAGGAGACGGTCAGGCAAGCTATTTGGGGTGTGGAAGAGACAGACTGGGGCTCCTGGTCAGAACCAGTCAGAAGTAGATGTAGCTCACCAAGCTCCTCGTTGGTCTTTAATAGGTGGACCAGGCCCCCTGGCAAGAATTAACAAGAATGGATGCGGTCGACAGCTCTTCTTCCTGGCGGGGTGGGGAAGTCCGGGTATCCTGGCAAGGACTCGGTCAAAAGTGGATGTAGTCGACAGCGCTATTCAGGGGTACCTGGAGCTCTTCAATACACCAAAAAGGAGCGCTGTCTATTACATCCACTTCTAACTGGTTCTTGCCATGGGGCCTTGGACAACTCCACTACACCAACAAGGAGTCTCTTGGGCTACATCCACTTCGGACTAGGCTCTTGCTAGGTGCCCTTAGACCTCCCAATGCCGCCAGGAAAGAGTCTGGTTGGCTACACCCACTTCTGACTAGGTCCTTGCAACGGGCCCTTGAACTTCCCCACTCACCGAGAACAAGCGTAGTCGATCACGGCCACTTCGTACTAAGTTTCTGCCAAGGTGATCAGCTACACCTTCATGAATGGTGGGCAACGCATCAACTGGATGCCAAACCAATGGCATCAACGACACCCCTCCGAATATGGAAACCGTGAGAAGCACCCTAGCCCGACCGTTGATGATGGAAGCAAAGGTGGACACAAGTGACGGCCCTTGTAGACGGAGCCGACGAATGCTCCGCGTCCGCCCACATCGCTCGACAGACAAAGCCTCCTTGAGATGAGAGACATGCAGACGCAATGTCAATTCTGGCGAGATGTGTGGGATTATTGTTTCACATGCTGCTTTGGTAATGAGCAAAATCTCACACTTCATGTTTATCCGCGTTTGTGACGTTGCCTATTCCTCGCGCCAAGCTTTCTTCACAAGCATCCGTATTCACCTTGGACATCGCCTGCTATCATGCAGGGTAGGCCATTGTAACCCCCTACAGCAGCCGCAAGGTAGTAGAGCGGATTGGCCAGCGTCACAGCTTTGCGTGCAATGCGATTAAATTCTAACTCCCGTTCCCAACCAATCCCTGCTCGCCTGGACAGTCTTGGAGTGAGTAGGACGCATACACGTCGGGACAATGATAAGAATAGGGTAGTCATTTCTGGGTCGATGCCTGGTCCGCAGCAGGTACGGATACAGCACTCCATCATTCTCGCTGCGAAGTTCCCAGGGGATCTCGCTAGGGTATCGAGATGAGGTTGGATCAGCCATCGCTGGCCGCGTTCTTCCAGTTTACGCGCACGAGAGAAAGAGACTAGATTCGACGGGGTGTGATGGCTCCGGCGGTGCTCTTGGGCCGTTGCGTAAGGAAACCCCCCGGGCCACCCATGACCGGCAACCTCGCTATCTGGCAGCCACGGTAGATCATGACCGCCGGCTAGGCCCGAGAGGTGTCCGTCTAAGCTCACTGCGACCCTCGGCGACAGCCCTGGCACTGTCCATGGGCAGCTGCAGCCACCGTGGATTCTGAGAGACAAAGAGAGATGAGAGGGTGTGGTGGCCCTGCCATCGCGGTGGGCACTTTGCCTGGATGTGACTGCGGTGTGGCAACCACAATGGAAGACTAGAGACAAGAGGGTGTAGTGGCCCTGCCAATATTGTGGGCACCTGCCTGGGGGCCCTTGGGGTGTGGCAGCCACAATAAGAGACTAGAATCAAGATGGTGTGATGGCCCGCCAATATTGTTGGCACTTGCCTGGGGGATCCTTCGAGTGTGGCAGCCACAATGGATGACTAGAGTCGAGAGGCTGTGGACCCCTGTCTGGTAGTCCTTATCATGTGGTAGCCACACTGGAGGATGAGAGCTGAGAGGGTGTGATGGCCCTGGCAACGCTATGGACACCTGCCTAGGGCTCCCACTTCGGGCCAGGCCACAATTGATCGACGACTCGCCGTGTGAGTGGCTGCATTCTGCCCCTGTCGATCAGACGACTCTGAGCCTGGTGAGCGCTTCCCACCCGTAGGGGTCGCGTAGAATGTGCCCGCCGGGCCTATCATATATAGATGCACCTATGGCAGACAGACAGCGATGGCGCACGACGACGGTTGTCAAGGCCGCCGTGAGTCCCAAGGCGAGGCTTGAACAGGATAGCAGCGTTTCCAAGGGATGACATCTATCAGGGAAGACATGGTTACGATAAGACACGGGTGCAGCAGGCGGGACCTAGTCTACTGAACTATTGGCTAGTGTCAAGGAAACGACAAACTCGCCACAAAGCGGTCCTGTATCGTACTGTCTTGAGCATTCATAGCTTCCTAGCGAATAGAATAACACGAAGGTTCAGAAGGACTCCATACAGTGTGTGTTTTGCAAAATTCTCTATTTGGACGGCGAGTTGCCGAACACAAAGCTGTGCTTCGCCGGCCGCTGAAAGTGTTCGACTGTGTGAAAGTCACTGTGTTAAATGGCACCCGTATTGACGGGCTATGACCCACTCATAAAGACCTGGCAGTACCTATAGCGCTCGTCCAAAACCGGCTACTGTGGCAGGCGCCAGCGCGGCTTCTTATGGATCATCAACGTAGATTCATGTACCTACAGATCCGCATCCAGGCTTCACAAACAGACAGAGTGCACGAATAGGAAGCTGCATTCGCTCACAGCTGTATCACGGCCCCACTGTAACATCTACTTCGCTTTGCTGTGTGCTTGCCGGCGCCTGTCCAGACAAACCCAGGGCTGTGCTCATCTCTAGTTGACCTCCGCGTTGATCTAACTCACTCACTTTCCCAGCTTCCTTAGGCTGCCATCAGCTTGTCGCGTAGCTCGCAGGTCACGGCAGCCAACAGTGTGTAGCCTGTACAAGGATTCCCAGCGCGTGATCAAAACACCGCCCCCCTTGGATTAGAGTTGACGTTCAGTGTGCATGCAGGCTGAATTCGCCTTTAAACCCCCCGTGCAGAAGCACCGATGCAATCCGTAGGCGCTGCAAGGGCATATCTCCAGCCTTGTATGTTTGATTTGGCTCGAAGCCGAGAGCCACGCACATGGCGTTCGTAATTGTGTGGACGCCGCAGTCCCAACTGTTCGTCTGACGGGGTGTCTTGATTCTCACCGCCTTCCACTCGTTCTTGTCGAATTTTTCCTCCAAGACGTCCTTGATCCACGCAATGATGAGGCTGATATACTTCTCGTTGGCGCAATCTGTCAGTGAATCCATGTGTGACATGGTTCTCTTCTGCGGGCGAACCACAATGAGAGTCCAATGCTTGTTTTCGCATACGGGCATGATTATGCTGTCAATGTCAAGGAAATTCGCCTTTCGGACGCCTTTGCAACCTAGTGCTCGCTGTGTATTGCGGACACCTCTATCTCGAATATGCTGGAAGAAAAAGGAATTTTGAACAAGAATCTTGCGGGTTTCTGTCTGGACATAGGTGATGCCAGATGCCAAGTTAATAGCGTGATCCAGCCATAGAAGAAGGCCGTTGACAATCTCGTCATTGAGCCATTTCGTCCGAGGCACAACTGTGGCAAAGTCGTGATGTCGCAGTCCTGTTTTGTCCGCAGTCACGGCCAGAGTCTTGTCGGCAGGAGCACTCATGGTGTTGCGTGTACGTTTGATCCATGCATCAGGCAATGGCGATATGAGCTGGGTCTTCGGTGCGTGGAGCTTGCCCGTGGACGCAGGACGGTGCTCATCCGCCCTTCGGGCCTCTTGCTTTCCAGCACTAAGATACGCATAGAACGAGGTAATCCAGTCGACACTAGCTGAAAATGCGGCCTTAATGTACCTCATAATGGGAATCACCTGCGTGGAAAAAAAACGTGAGGTTGAAGTCATTGCGGCTAAAGACCTAATATAGAGTAAGGCTTGCCGTCGTTCACGGTGGCGTCAATTAGCAGACCTTCTGCGATTGTCTTCCTGTGATTTGGCATTGCGGACGCTTTTGAAAGTCAACTTGTGGTCGTATAGGGATCCTCTTCGGTCAACATTGCAGGGCAACTGTTCATCCACATAGAACAGTTGAGTAATTGATCTTTTCACGAGAAGCGTGTCGGCGTTGGTGGCGTCCCGTGAGAGCTCGATTGCCCTGAGCCGTGTGTCGTCCTGAATCGGTCAGCGCCACCAATTTGCGTCTATCGACCTGCAGCGCACCTAGCGTAAAGGGAGCATCAAGCACCTGGCTCGTCTTTTGGAGTAGGTTCGGCTTCTGACTGTGCAGTCTTTTGGATCCCGAAGCGCTTTCGGAAATGTGATCGGAAGAAGGCTTGCGCTTACCTCCTCTACTAGTCGACGGCCAATCATGGAGCACAAAGCTTCGTGGATTTCCTCAGACCGCGTACGAGCCATGTGTAACTCGTCTCTTATCGTTCATGACCTTTTAGGAGACTAATGATATCTCTCAGATAGTGCTGCCAGTCACACTTGGGTTTTTTCTTCCAAATCCGGCCGCGGTCAAAGAGGAAGCCCTCCGGAGCGAACACAACAGGGCATCCGCAATGTAGCTTGAATATCCTCTTACAGCTCGGACACGGCTATTTGGGGACAATTGACAAAACCGATTGCTTATAACGCAGAGGTCACCCGCTGCATGGTCTTGAGAGGTTTCTGGGAGTCTTTCAATGCCCATTAGAGCTCCTGTTTGCTGCCATACGATGGAAAAACTTAGCTTCAGAAGACGAATACTTCGCCGAGTGCGTAAATACCTATCCCGACAGACGCCTTTTCAAGCCGAACCGGCGCAAAGCGACCAAGGTCGACCTCAGACACGTGATCCTGATCCGCACGGTAGCAAAACGGCTCCTGATAGGCGCGTCGTCGACATGACCCGGGACTTGGGAGTGCTCCGTGGTTCGCTGGCGCACCACCGACAGATGTCCGATGATATACTCTCTCACCTTCTCCTCGTGTTGCAGAAAAACGCGCAAGGTCTTAAAGAGGCCTCTCAGCTTTGCGATGAGCTCGTGTATGAGGTAAATAGGCAATGGCGAGTGGGAATACTCCCTGGTACGGCTTTCTCCCCGGCGTAGAAGACGCTCCGATTCCTCAGTGAGACTTGTAGTAGTCGTCAGGAAACAACTGCCGTCATCCAGCTGGGTGCCTCGAATCCTGGTCCCCCAGTGTCCACCCACGAACCTCTCAGCCCTAGTTCTCTACAGTCACGTTCAAATTCAACGAGTATCCTTGTCGCAGTTATTGGTCGCTCTCGGTGGAAACACAAGTGGTGTGAAAGTTGGACCGCGTGAGATAGACCACGCTCAGTGTGGCTTGTCACATGAGGCAGCATCAAATACAGTGTGGCTCATCCACTTGTAAAAGGTAGCATCTAGCATTTCCCGCGGCCATTCTCCTCCTGTTCCCTCCATCAGCCCATCCATCGCCCACATTGGCGCCGACGCTGTCTCAATCTCAACATACGAAATTTCCTACCGCGGTCTTACAGACGCTCTCGCTTTGCCTGGCCGGCACGAGCCAGACGTCGACATGCTGACACTTGTGCGCGCCTGGCTGAGACCGTGGTTCATGGTCGTCGACGATGCGGACGACACCGGCGTGTTCTTCCTCGACAACGGCGCCTCGCGAGGATGAAGAATCACGACGTAAGCAGAATCAAGCAGTTCTATTGCTTCTTCTAGATTCCGGGCAAAAGAAACCTGGCCGGTGTTAGGTTCTGTTCTTAATTCTTTTCTTTCACTCTAGTCTCATGTAGATGTGGCTGGTGAAGGCCCACTGACATCACCAACTCATCCTGGTCCCTCTCCTCCCCCCAACGACACCTCCTCAGGCTGGCAGATCAACGGCTGGGTTGGCTGGCGCGCCTCAAGACAGTGGCTCCGTCCACATATGTCATCCGCGTAGCGGCAGCCAGATGGATTGTTTGAATCGAGGGAGTCTTCAGAGACTGTGAATGTGTTATGAAGAAACTGCAAGAGGGCATGTACGTCCGCCTTTGTTGTCATGGGTCCAAGACTGGCTCTAACAACCCTAGAAAGCATTAGTCTTAGGGGTCTTAGGTAAGCGGCCGAGTGGCCAGGCGGCCAGGTGGCTTTAACCACCCAAGGCATGCTTGCACTTACCCAGTTGGCTTTCCGTTGATGACTGCTATTTCATTGCGTCCACATGAATGTCCGCTCGAAAACATCCTACTCCATTCCCAGCCCTCATATTTCAGAGCTCTCAAGACGCCACCGGGACAACAGACACCTTCCAGACTTGTTAGTGTTCGACAATCATGTAGCCATCCTCAGGATCCGCTTACCACCCGCCCTGATATAAACGCCCGCATCGTTTGCCATCGACTCGATGCTCGTCCAGGGTACATAATACCCTTCCTTATTTTTCACGTTGAAAGCGATCGTGGCCCCTTGTCTGGAAGGGTCTCCAAACACCACTGGATCGTCGACATATATCTCAACAAGGGGAGACCCGTTGGGATACTTTAACGATGCCAAGCCCGAGTATAGGTAACGTGACAAGTACGAGCAGTGACGAGAGATAAATTCCTTGATCATTGTCAATAGGATCTCTTATCGAGGATCTGAACACATACCATGGAACCGTATAGTCGAGAATGAGTTTTTATGGCCACACCAAGGGCTAGAATGCTGTGAAATGGCAAAGTCCCGTCTTCGAGACCATCATGTATATCCCACGTGCTCTCGGCATCTCCTAATCCAGGAACTTTCCTCGATGAATGAGAGTCTCCATTCAGCGGGAACACCTGGGCGATGGTACCCCCACCAAAGTACTTGCGCAGGTTAAGCACATGACCAGATGACCGGCGCACGATCAAGGCTCCTAGATCAGGGAAGCCAAAAATCTTGTAGAAAGACAGGCAGGTAAAATCTGGCGCTGTGTTGAGGTCAGAGAACAAAGGTGAAAGAGAAGTAGTCATCGCTAGTGCGGCGGCATCGAATAATGTGTAGGTGTTTCGCAGCTGGGAATTCCTTCTCACGCTACCCGTCCAGGACCTTGGGAGACGCCGTCCGCTGAGGTTGGATTGTCCGGGATAAGCAAAGAGACCCAGCTTGTTGGAGTCGGCATTGTTGACCACGGCGCCGCGTGGATCAGCGAGCCATTGCTCTACTCGGCTGTCATTGTCGAAGCAATGGTATGACCCCACCGAGAGCTCCCTTATCCCTAGAATACTCGAGTGAACTTCGCTGTGGTAACCGTACCAGAAGGTTTTGCTGACAGTCCTATCTGCGAGATCTCGAAAGCTTTCGGCAACGATTTTGATAGCCGCCGTTGCGTTGGCGGCAAAAACGAGATCATAATGCCTGGGGTCAGCACCTAGAAATTCGAGCGCTCTGACCCTGATGCGGTCCACCATGTCCCCGGATAACTTGGCGGGAAGATTCTCCGAGTGGGGGTTCCCCCAGAGATTCGTAACCATCTCATCCGAAAAATCCGTTACTAGTGACTTAGCATAGATGGTAGCACCTCCATGGTCAAGATATACTCCTAAAAGAAGTGGTTAGCAAGATAGTCGACTGCAGTATGATCCAGTCAAGTCCGTGTTGTTTCCTACCTCGGTCCATGTTAGGATATTCTGTGCGTCTAAATCTCTCCACAGATTCGTTATATCGCATCTCGGGGGATGCAGCCAAGAGGGCATCTTGCTGGAACGAATCAGACCTGGTCTCCCTCGTCACACGCTCGGTGTCGTTTGCTTTCATTTCAGAATTGTGACCACAGCTATCGTCTTCAGTTACCGAGTTTGACTTCCACAAGCGTATGCAGAAGAAATGACCACAAATGGAACGGAAGCCCATCCTTGGAAACCAACGCTGAATGAGTCAAGAGCGGACTGATCGGTATGGGCCACCGCTGACATTAAATAGTTAGGGAAAGCAGCGGTGTCCTGCAATATAAAGAATTATAAAACGGCTATTTTAGGACGCGGAAGAGCCCTACAGTGCGCACAGCGATAGACCGAACTATAGCGAAGTGCCGTTGCCGTTCGCTCTGAGCAACTTAGATGGGGCCACTTCCATGGCATATGAGTGCCCACCCTGCGTCTGTCTGGTCAGAGCCTAGACCTTGGTCTGTAGCTAGGAGCCGCCCGAGACGGGGTGGGAACTATGTCGAAGATGCATAGTATCCTGGTTCGCTAGGTGACGCCAACAGCCAGAGCCGCAATGTCCGCGAGGGTGTGACAGCTGCGTAAGGCCCATGTAGAACAAAGCGCCCTAGATAAGGTGCATGAATGCAGGTGGCCTGCCAATCAAGTGGGTGTGATACGTACACTAGCGCATGGGTTCCTACTAGGCGCCACGCTTCGCCAAGCTTACTGTGAGGCAGTCACGATGGATGACGAGAAAGGGCTACTTGATAGATCAGAATGGGGGTGACGACTTGCCTGAGGGCTCCTGTTCGGGGTAGACCAACCATAATTGATGACCGTCCAGCGTGGCAGCCACAGTTGACCACTACAGGGGGTTTCAGACAGGAGGGTGTGGCGGCTCCGCGATTGCTGTGGGCATTTGCGCAAGGGGTCCCTGCCGTGTGGCAGCCACCACAAAGGACTAGAGATGAACTGCTCCGCCGTTGCGGCGCCTGCCTGGGTAATCCTTGCCGTGTGGCAGCCACAACGAAAGGCTAGAACGGAGAGGGTGTGATAGCCCCGCTACTGCGGTGGGGGCTTGCCTGGGGTTCCTTGCTGTGTGGCAGCCACAATGGAACATAGAGTTAAGAGGGTGTGATGGCTTCGCGAGCACTCACAAAGCCCCCTACCTTAATAGGCAAGCCTGATAAATGCTGCATGAGGCCCCTGTTGGTCTTCCGTCGCTTGCACCCTCGTGTGGGGGCCATCAGGATTAAGTAGGTTGGACGGGCGCACTAGCGCTGCCGGCATCTAATTGAGCGTTTTGCTTGCCAAGCATTGTCTACATGGGGACCTGCGCGCCAGATCGACAGCCTCATCGAACCAGGCCTCCTTGAACCCAGGTCGCATGGCCGTGATATGGTAGCATCAGGCAGGCGGAGCCGTGTGGGGTGAGCTGGCTGCTCAAGGCACACCTTCGCCTAGTGGCAAATTCAAGATTCGGCCACAAGGGCCGAAGATGGATATTGGCCAGATTGAGTACATAGGGATGCTGCCCATTGTGGACACCCCAGAATGAGGCCGAGCAACTCGCCACAGCTGGCACGTCCTCGTTACCCATCCTGCGTGTCTACCTCGTAGCCAGAATTTTACACTTGAGCCGTAGCAAAAGTCTCCTGAAGAGTGGCGTTCAATATCAACGCATCTCTCCGCTGTATATGATGGGCCAAGCGGGCGCATTCTACGCGACCCCTGCGGTTGGGAAGCTCTCACCAAGAGTAGACTGATCGACAGGGGCAGAATGCAGCCACTCCAGCTTCTGATGTTAAGCAGCTCGGGTGACGTGTGGCTGCCACACGGCAAGTCGTCGATCAATTGTGGCCTGGCCCGAAGTGGGAGCCCCCAGGCAGGTGTCTATAGCGTTGCCAGGGCCATCACACCCTTTTGATTCTAGTCTTCCATTGTGGCTGCCACACTCCAGTGTGGCATAACACCTGATGGCACGGCCACTACGCGCCACGTTCGTGGTTGGCAATCACCAACGAAATGGGCGTCCCGGGCGGACACAACCCAGTAGTAACCAGCAGCCCACGGGTCAATCCTCACTCGCTCTGCTTTGACGAGGAGCCCCTTTGCAGGAGCGCCTGTTGCAATGCCAAATGGCATGCAATGACGCGCCTGCGATCGGACAACGCGATGGCCCGAGGAATCCGAACCCTTTCAACACGCGGTGGATGCGCGACATGAAGCTCTGCATTACTCGGTGTAGTCGGAAGCGTGGTGCCAAATAACGGTGCATCCAGCAGCGCAGTTTGTCGGCACATGCCAGGACATGCCTCAAAGGGGCTTGGCTGGTCTCGAAGCTATGTCAGCCACAGAGCCGTCCAGGCGGAAGAGGGTCATACCCAACGCAACGCTCGGAACCACAGTTCGTGCCATGTTTCTGTACCCGCTTGGCAGGGTTTGACTAGAAATACTGTATGGTCGAGGAAACAAGAGATGGCCAGAAGCGAGGGAGATTGGTCTTATAACCTCGTCCAAGTCACGCCGCGACCTCCGCAACCTTGGACCAGCGTCCCACGCTGAGCGACCGACGCATAGATACCTCTCGGCCACAAGGAACCGCATATTCTGGCTGAGGGATGACTAGTCCTGCCAGGGCTCAGTTTGTGGAAGCCGGCCGTCCCACCAACTGTCGGGTCTGTACTGGTCATCCGCTTGTGGCTGCCACGCCGTTGTCTATAAGGACG